TCTTGGGGCCTCTTGGGGGTCTCTTGGGGGCCTCCGGGGGGCCTCTTGGGGGCCTCTTGGGGCCATTTTGGGGCCATCTTGGGACCTCTTGGGGCTTCCTGGGCGCTTCTTGGGGCCATCTTGGAGGGAGTCGATCAAACAAGAGGGGGGGGTGAATTAGCGTCCCCCCTCGGAAGCCCCTAAAATCGCCTCTTGGACCCCTCTTGGAACGCTCTTGGAGTGCTCTTGGGCGCTCTTGGGGCCGTCTTGGGGCTCTTTTGGGGCTCTCTTGGGGCCCTCTTGGGCCATCTTGGAGCCATCTCCAGGCCTCGGATGGCCATCGGAAGCGAAAAGGCGAGAAAGCAAAAATCATTGATTTTCCTTAGGTTTTGGGACGATTTTGGCCTCTTCGGGGCCTCCTTGGGGAGCTGTTTGGCCACTTGGAGTTATCTTGGGGCCGTCTTTGGGCTTCTTGGAACCATCTTAGGAGCCATCTCGAGCGATCTTGCGCTATCTTGAGCCATCTTGGAGCTCATCTTGGGTTCTCTGAGGCGCTCTTGGAGCCGTCTTGGGCCATCTGGGACGCTCTAACTACCAGCGGCCCCCCCCGTCCAGGTCCAGGGGAGGGGGTAGGGGGAGGGGTAAACCCCTCCCCAAGGGGGAAGAGGGAGGGGTGGAAGAGGATCTGCTCTAGACCACCTACGCCCAGAGGGCTGGTGGGATTTCGTGCACACCATGCTGCTAGGTTCAACTCGCGCTGCTGGTGGTATTCGCATGCGTCTCGCCTTGCACGCGCACGCGCCCATGCCATCACCCATCGGCAGGCTTCCTGTGCACGGTTGATTCATGCCATGCGTCTCCGTTGACCTCTTGGCCAGAACGCTCCTTCGCCTCCTCTTCTTCTCCTTCCTCCTCCTCCTCCTCCTCCTCCTCCTCCTGCATCCTGCCCCTCCTCCGCTTCCTCCTCTTCCTCCGCCTCCTCTTCCTCCTCCTCTTCCTCCTCTTTCTCCTCCTCCTCCTCCCCTCCTCTTCCTCCTCCTTCTCTTCCGCCCACCTCTTCCTTCTGCTCCTCCTCCTCTTCCTCCTCCTCCTCTTCCTTCTGCTCCTCCTCATCCTCTTTCTTTTTTGAGAAGTCAAGCCACTGTGCTGTAGCGTTCTCCGCCTCCTCCGCCTCCTGCTACTCCCCCTCTTCCTCCTCATCCTCCTCCTCTTCATCATCCTACTCGTCTTCATCCTCCTCCTCCTCGTCATCATCAGCAGCATCAGTATCAGCATCAGCATCAGCATCAGCATCAGCATCAGCATCATCATCATCATCATTATCATCATCATCATCGTCGTCATCATCATCATCAGCATCAGCATCATCATCATCATCATCATCATCGTCATCGTTATCATCATCATCATCATCATCATCATCGTTATCATCATCATCATCATCATCATCATCATCATCACCATCATCATCATCATCATCGTCCTCTTCCTCGTCCTCGTCCTCGTCCTCGTATTCGTCGTCCTCCTCTGCATCCTCATCTGTATCCCCCTGATCCTCGTGCCCCTTCCTCCTGCTGTTATTCTCGCCGTTGCTCTTCTCGTCATAATCATCCTCCGCCTTCCTGGTCATCCTGCTCCTGCTGTTCTCCTGCTCCCTCGCGCCATTCCTCTCTCTCTCTCTCTTTCTCTCTTTCTCACTCTCACTCTCTCTCTCTCTCTCTCTCGTTCTCTATCTCGCTCTCTCTCCCCAATCCTCCCCCATCTCCCTCCCCCCCTCCTCCGCCCCCCCTCCCCATCTTCATCGTCAGCCCTCCCCCTCCACAATTCCAATATGAATAGTATGTTCCTCTCTCCCCTGATGACGCCCGGAAGATGTGCGACCCCCTCCGTGTGCTGCTTTTTACACGCAGAATTCCCGGGAGTCGGGTGTTCGCTGTGAGTTTGTCTCAAAATCTTGTTCCCGCTCAAGCGCTGGCCTCATTTTCGGGCTTCCGCTCGTTCCGAATCGTGTTCCCGCTGCAGCGTTGGCCTCATTTCCGCGCTTCCGCTCGTTCCGAATCGTGCTCCCGCTGCAGCGGTGGCCTCATTTCCGCGCTTCCTCTCGTTACGAATCGTGCTTCCGCTGCAGCGCTGGCGTCATGATTTCCAGTGCCATGTTCTGATGTGCGATGCCATGCCTTCAGCTGCAATGCTAGGATATGCAGTGCGTGACTACGCAGCGCAACACCATGATATGCCATTGTACGCTTTGATGTTCATCAATGCCATGCCATGTTATGTGATGTGCTGCTGTGCGATGCCATTATTTGCGTTGCAATGCTTTGTGATACAATTCTTCACTACGCAACGCCCCGCCATGCTATGACATACTACGCTCTGGCGTGCTCTTATACGCCCTGCTATGCCGTGCTCGACGATGCATCGCGCACCGTCTCGGGATAATTGCCCTGCCCGACATCCGACTGTGCGAATAGAGAGGCGGTCTACGCCATGGTAAGAATGGGAGGGAGGGGCAGGACGTCAGATATGACGCGAGCGCACCCAGCTTGTCCGCCTACCCCTCCTCCTACTCCTCCTCCTGCTCCTCCTCCTTCTCCTCCTCCTACTCCTCCTCCTCCCCTCCTCCTCCTCCTCCTCCTCCTCCTCCTCCCCTCCTCCCCCCCACCCCCCTCCTCCTCTTCCTCCTCCTGCTCTTCTTCCTCCTCCTCCTCCTCCTCCTCCTCCTCCTACTCTTCTCCCCTCCCCCTCCTCCTCCTCCTTCTCCTCCTCCTCCTCCTTCTCATCCTTCTCCTACTGCTTCTCCTCCTCCTCCTGCTTCTCCTCCTCCTCCTGCTCTGCTTCTCCTCCTTCTCCTGCTCCTGCTTCTCCTCCTCCTCCTCCTCCTCCTCCTCCTCCTCCTCCTCCTCCTCCTCCTCCTCCTCCTCCTCCTCCCCCCGCTCCCGAGATCCACTTCGATGTCGAACCTCGCGGAGCGTGCGCTGAGCATTGGGACCGAAGAACGACAGCGAGAGCTCAGAGGACGCCAGCGAGGCGAGGGAGATCGTACCCGCAGCAACGAGCGAGGAGCGCCCCGCCGCTCACGCAGAGGAGGAGGCCAAGGGGCGGAGCCAACACAGGCACCAGCAGCCGCCGCAGCAGCCGCGGCTGGGCCAGCCCCCATGGCCTGGGACGCCACCGACACACACTTCGGGCTGGCCCGTCAGGATGTCGCCAGCTTGCAGCGCATGCCGATCGAGTGGGTCCAGGCCGTCGTGCCCGTCCTGATGCGCATGTCTCTCAGGCACGAGCAGGGCCTGAACCAGCTCGAGGCCGCCAGCTACAGACACGTGCAGTTGCCCACCAAGCACGACGTGGTCCAATCGATGCAGCTGACCGCGAAGTACTACGGCACGGAGGCCGCCAGGATCAGTAAAGAGAAGCGCGAGCAGCTGGAGTCGGGCCAGACGGTCGACGAGCTTGTGGCCCTGGGCATCCCCCACCCGCACGTGTGGATGGCGCTAGTGGGCGCCCTCGTCGCACAGGGCGAAAAGATAGGTCAGCAGAACCTGGCGGCGCTTACGCAGTACCAGCAGAAGGTCAGGCAGGAGCGCCCGACCAACAGCATCCTCGCGGACGACATACGCCACTGTCGGATGCAAAGCACTCACAATGGAGAGATGACGAAGATCTGGATCGCGGTGGACCCTCCCACGCTCGAGAATACAGTGGTCAGCTCTATGGCGCAGCTGGGGGGGTGCACAAGCATGGCACACCGCCGAGGAGTCACAACGCCCGCCTCCTCCAGCTGCACCTCGACGGGATGTGATTGTAGCTATGACGGACAGAGATACTACCATTCCCTCGAGGCCGACGTGGGCTCAAAGGACCCAGAGGACTTCGGCGAGTTTGAGACCTAGGGGATCCCAGAGAGTACCTCCTTCCTCGATCCAGGCTACGACTCCGTCACTTCCCGCGCCCCCGACTCAGAGGAGACCTGAGCCACTTGTGAGCCACAGCGAGCCCAGAGAGTCAAGAGTAGGTCAGAATAACCCCACCCCCTCGCCTGAGACTCCTCCCTCTTTCGACGATCCTGAACCTCCTGGGCCTTCAGCGCCGAGCCCCCCACGAAACTTTTTGGCGTCCCGTTTTTGTGGGGTGCGGGGCCTCGGCGCCCAGGTTTTGTCGCTCTGGCGTCCTGGTTTTCCCTCGCGGCTCCAGCGAGCCTGCCCGCTCGGACGTCCTGGGGGCCTGGGTAGTGTCTTTAGCTTGTTTCTCTTTCCCGTTTGCAGCCCCGCCCCTTCGGCCTGCCTGTCTTTAAAACGTGGCAACCCAGCCGTTGAAGGGGGTGGGTGGGAGCTTGGTGCCTTCGAGGCCACGCGCGGCCTTGATACGAGCCGCGGCGCACTCTAGAGAGGAGTCCAGCGAAGGCCAGAGCTGCGAACTGCTGCTAGAGGCTGGCACCTCTCTGAAGAGCTTCACACACACACACACTCCTCCTCCTCCTCCTACTCCTCGTCCGCCTCTTTCATCTCCTCCTCCTCATCCTCCTCTTCGTCCTCCTCCTCCTCCTCCTACTCCTACTCCTCCTCCTTCCCCTCCTCCTCCTCCTCCGCCGCCTCCTCCTCCTCCTCCGCCTTCTCCTCCTCCTCCTCCTCCTCCTCCTCCTCCTCCTCCTCCTCCTCCTCCTCCTCCTCCTCCTCCTCTTCCTCTCCCTCCTCCCCCACCTCTTCCCACTCCCTCCTCCGCCCCCCTTTTCTTTCTTTTCCTACCACCTTTCTCTCCTCCCACCTTTCCTCCTACCTTACCCCCTTTATCCTCCGCCCCCTACCTCCTCCGAACCCTTTGTCACCCCCTTTGCCCCCCCCCCCTCCATGGGGCGCTCCCTGGAGCGAGGGAGCGCGCCGGGGAGGGATGCTGCTCCGCATGATCCGCTTCATCATCACCGGCGCTGAGGACCGCCGCCTCCCACGGCGTGGGCGGCCCTTGCGGGCCCCCCCCCCCTCCATGGGGCGCTCCCTGGAGCGAGGGAGCGCGCCGGGGAGGGATGCTGCTCCGCATGATCCGCTTCATCATCACCGGCGCTGAGGACCGCCGCCTCCCACGGCGTGGGCGGCCCTTGCGGGGCGCGGCGCCACCTCTTGCGCGCGCGGACCCTTCGCGGGAGCGGCCTGGCCTGGCCGGGGGTGGGGGGGAGCACGGCGAAGCCTATGAGCTCTCGAGCAGTGCGCGCTCTTCTGTTCTGCTGGGCCCCATGGCATCACGAGTTCGGCGTCTGGATTCCAGCCTCGGCGGCCACGGAGCACGCAGCAAATACATGTGCTCGCATGGAAGCCATGCGCTCGGGGCGCCCCCAGCGCCTGGGTGCGTCGAGAGCGGCGCTCGGGACGCGGGGAGGAGGCAGCCCAGCCACGGTTGGGACAGCTGTGGTCTTCGTCCACGATGACGCAAAGTTTGGTGCATCCTCGGCGCAATGCATACATGGCTGACGCTGTGCCGTGTCGTAGCGGAGCAGATAGTGTCCACGGCCTTTCGAGGGGACGCCAGAGCCGATGGGCGAGGCCCCCCTGGGGGGGGCGGGGGGTGGGCACGGCGCGCAGCTCCCCCAGCTGTGGCTGTGGCTCAAGCCGCCTGTTGTCAGAATCGTTCGGTTCGGCCCTGGCCGCAGAGAATGACACGTCGGCAGCCCGTGTGTTAAACCTCGAGAGTTCCAGCAGGAACATACGCCTTCTGATACACGTTCTGTGAAACATGTTGCAGGGCGTGCTTGACGAGCCGTCGGGTGCCGCGAAAGCTCGAGCGATCGTCGCAGCTCTCGGTTCGACGCACCCCACAATCGATCGAGGGGGAGAGTGAGGACGCGTCCTCGGCGGGGCCCCGCGCGCAGCCCCGGGCACAGTCGGCGCTGACCCGCGCTACATCAAAACGCGGCACCCTCTCTCGACCGCGCAAGAGCCTCCGAACATCGGGCTTGCTTGATGAGTGAAGCGTTGCCCATGGGGTCGTGATTGTTCTTGTGCTTCTACATGTTCTCCAGGTGCCTGCGGCGAATCCCGCCACGGTGCCTGGGTTGTGGGCTATAAGCCTATAGGATGTTCGTTGGAATCTCTTTGGAGGCCTCTCGGGGGCCTCACGGAGGCAGCTTGGAGGCCTCTCGGGGGCCGTTTTGGGACTGGGGCCCCTCTTGGGGGCCGTCTTGGGGCATCCTGGGGGCCTCCTGGGGGCCGCCTTGGGGCCTCCTGGGGGCCCTCCTCGGCGTCGCTCTTGGGGCCTCCTGGCGGCCCCTTGGGGCGGACGGCGCGGGGCCCTGATCCCCCTCCTCCTCCTCCTCCTCCTCCTCCTCCTCCTCCTCCCCCTCCTCCTCTTCCTCCTCCTCCTCCTCCTCCTCCTCCTCCTCCTCCTCCTCCTCCTGTGCTCCTCCTCCCCCTTCCGGCGAGCACGTCTTTCGACGTGTGGGCTCCCGGGCGCGGCGCTTCCCGCGCGCGCGGCCCACGCCGTGGGTGGAGGGGGGGGAGGGAGCCGCCCGCCGGAGGGGCCCAGACGTCGGGGGCCTCGGCCCCCCGTCGGTCCGGGCGCCCTTCCCCCCCGAGCCTTTGGCGCCCAGGGGCTTCGATCCCGCCCCCCGCCCCCCCCCCCCCGGCCAGGCCAAAATCCAAAATCACGGCGGGAGGCTTTTTGTTGCCATGTTCGGTCTTATTGGCCCTCGCAGGCAAGCAAGCAAGATGGCCAAGCATCCTGAGGGACGAGTGGGCTGGTAGGCGAGGGCACTCGTGATTACTCCTGCCGAAGTTCGCATAGGAAAACTCACCGCCGACAGCGGCAGTGTCGGCACCACCGCGGGCTGGACTAAACAGCCGGGCAGGAGGAGGAGGAGGAGAAGGAGGAGGAAGACGACGTTCAATCTGGCCCTCGGAACCGTGAACAAAACGATTCAGGACGAGAAACGGATCCCAGGGAAGGGGTCGAGACCTCTGGGGGTCGACGTCATGAAAAAAACACGACGTCGGGGGTCTGGGGGAGGCGCCCAGACAGGGCCCGTCCCGATGCCTCCGGTGCTAGTCGGTTCGATTTCGATGGCTTCCGATTCCGATTTGATGCGGCTCCGGATTCCGATATGGGCTCCGGCTCTTCACTGGAAGCCTTGTTAATTGGCGTGCCGATCTCTGCCGGTTCGACTTCTCCCGACTCGGCGCCGATGTCCGCCGATCTGATTCATGTCGATCGCCGATCCGATTTATCGATTCGCTCCAGGGCCTTCCTGCCAGGAGCAGCAAACACGGCCCAGGGACCAAGAGTTAAGTCGGGCGTGTCCTTCTACAGGAGGAAAATTCAGAAATAGTCAGAAAATAGTACTCGGACGATTTGTTACTATTTTTGATTAGTGGGGGGTATTTTTGTTAAGTTGTTGTAGACTTTCGCCCAAAATCTCCCTGCCCGACCTAAGCCAAGAGCTGTTTCCAGCGAGGGGGTCGAGGCTTCAGCACTCAATCCATCGGATGTCTGGGGTCGCGGGCAGGCAGGCCGGGACGGAAGGGTCGCCCCAGAGCGTCCTGGAGCGCCCTGAGACGGCCGCGCGGCGCCACCTTCCGGGCCCGCAGCCTCGCAGAGATCCCTTTAATAGCATTGATCCTTTCTTCCCCCTTTTGTGTTCTGCCATCGCTCCTCCTGGCCCGTTTCTCCTTGCCGGCAGCCGGAGCGGCGGGAGGTAGGTAGGCAGGTCGAGCCTGGCGCCCAAACGGTGCACTGGCAGAGGAGTTGCGCGTGCAGGACTGCGGAGGAAGGGAGGAGTAGGAGGAGGAGGAAGAGGAGGAGCAGGAGGAGGAGGAGGAGGAGGAGGGAGGAGGAGGAGGAGGGAGGAGGGAGGAGGATGGAGGAGGCGGAAGAAAGCCACACTCGAAGTCAGTGCTCTTGATAGCGCTGGCAGCATGCGCGCACGTCGTGAGGAACGCGCACAGCGCCTGACACGAGAGGCCTTACAGAAGACGCCAGGCCTGGAAGCCACCGCTCTGACAGAACCTCGCGAGATCCGCCAGGAAGGGCCGGCGCCCTCGCGCACGGCTCCGCGCGGCACAGCTTTACGCCGGGCCTGTCCCTCCACAGGGGGGATATTCAGAAAAAGTCAAAGAATAGTCCGGGGACGATTTGTTGTTAGCATTGTTTGACCATGTGGGGGCATTGTCTGGTCATTTGTTCTTTTCCGTCCAACATCCCCCTGTAAGAGGACAGGCCCGACTACAGCACAGCTCCGCGCGACACGGCTTCCCACGGGCGTGGGGCGGCCTCCCCAGGGGACGCTGGCGTGGCGCGGGCCTCCGCGAAGCTCCAGCAGAGCCGACTTGCCGCGAAGCTCCAACAGAGCTTCCCAGGCGGCGACGCCAACGTGCTCGCGAGGTTTCGTCCCCTGGCGGACCTTCGGCACCAATATCCTGGAGTTCGACGTCTCGGATCGGCAGTTCTCAGTTATCCGTAAGGGCTTCGCCCCCTGCTGCCAGCCCCCTTCTGTCGGATAATGGGCTACGCAAGAGCTAAAGCATGAGGCCTCGGCGCCGCCGTGAAGCAGCATCGGCAAGAGAAATTGAGATTATGATGATATCGTTGAACTCCGTATTGCATGTTGAGCGATGATACGCGAACGCATCATAATTTGCGAGGGTATATGGCTTCGGGGTCGCAAACATAGCGTAATTTACTCAGGTGTATGGCTTCTGAGACGCGAAAAGCGTGTAATGCGCGAGGGTGCATGGCTTCGAGCCCGAACATATAGCGTAATGTACGAGGGTATGTGGCTTCGGGGTCGTAAGTATAGCGTAATGTACGCAGGTTTATGGCTTCGGAGACGCGAATAGCGCAGAAGTTACAAAAGGTTTGTGGCTTCGGAACGCGCATGCAGCGTAATTTGCGAGGGCTTATGGGCTCGGGGACTCGAATAGTAATTAGTTCCCCATGTTTTATTGCATCGGGAACGCAAGCATTGCATAATTTACGAGGCTGTATGACTTCGGGGACGCGAATATTGCGTGATCGACGAGGGTTTATGGATTCGGGGTCGCGAATACCGCGTGAATTGCGAGCGTGTGTGGCTTCGGGGACGCAGGTATCGTTTAACTTGCGAGGGTTTATGGCTTCGGGGACACGAATACGGCATATTCTGCAACGATGTATGGCTTCGGGAACGCGAATATAGCGTAATTCGCGAGGGTTTATGGCCTCGGGGGCGCGACTATCGCGTAATACACGATGGTTTATGGCTTCGGGTGCGCGACTCTCAAGTATTTTTGCGTGTCGCACCCACCCCCCAGGACTTCAGAGCACTCGATTCGGGCGTGGTACCCTGGTTCCTTATCGGCTCCCCCACCCCTCGCGCGGACAGTACCAATTTACAGTAGGAAGCATAAAGCAAACCTGTAACAGTGGAAACTGGAACCTGCAACTGGCGCATGGAGCAGCAAACCCTAGCCCTACAGCGTGGTGGCCCCACAAGGGGGCTGGCGTATCCCCCGCAGCTCCCTGGACGTCCCCCTCCCGTACTCCCTGGACTGCGCTCTGGGCGGTGTCTGCGCTGGCCGCCGCGCGCGCGGCCCACCGCGCGGCGCGGGCGATCTCGGCGCGGCTGCTGTCTGAACACCAGACGTGGAGCTGCGCGCTGGCAGGTGCGCGGCCGATGCGCATGGCCATGCCCTGCGCGCGTCCGAGAACGAGAAGGCCATCTTCAACGCGTTCGAGGCTGGCGGAGCTGCCGGTAGTGATGCGTGCTCGTCGTTTTCTTCCTCGGCTTTTTCGGGTCCTTCGTCGCCAGCGCCCGCGTGGGAGGCTTCCTCATCATGCTCGTCTGGCCCGTCGTCTGGATCACCTTCAACTCCGAGGCCGCGCCCTTGGTCGTCCAAGCGCTCACCGAGGCTCGCACCCATGGTCTCACCTTCACTTTCGTCGCCTGCGACGACGATTCCCACCCCGCCTGCCTCGCGACGGACTTCACCGCCACCTGGTGTTCGCGCAGCCGATGGGGCTGACTGGACGGTTATCTCGAGCACGGACCTCACGTCGACATTCGTCCCCCCTCCCCCTGTGGCGTCAGAGCGCGAAGTGCCGGTGG